TGAAATAATATAGGAGGAATATTTTCGATCGATTTGCCCGAATACGATATTTCCTAAAAGGTCGACACTAAGAAGGAAAGTCAAACAGCGATTTGAAGAACTACAATCGAATGTTAAAAATCGACTACAACAATATTCATGTAAAATGTCATTTACCATTGATGGATGGTCGTCCATTGCTGGTAGGAGTTTCTACGGGATCACTATTCATTATATAGACAATGAATGGAAGTATCGATCTGTAGTCCATGATTTTATACCATCGACATACTGGGTTAGATATTGCAACGATTTTCCATGAATGTTTATTGGAATATAACATAATTGATAAAATACAGGGTATCACGGTTGACAACGCAACTACAAATACCAAATTTATGTATGAAATTGGCAAACAACTGCTGCATTTTGATTCAGACAATCAACATTTCCGGTGCTTTGCTCACATTTTGAACCTTGGTGTACAAGATTTACTAAAGACGTTAGCATTACACAGTGAAACTGACAATAAAGAACAAGAACAGCAGTATGAAGACTATGAAGACGAAACTGAGGAAGATGAAGAATATGCGCCAAATATTGCTGACTCACATACAGGTATTACAAAATTACGCAGTATTTCCAGTAAAATAAAAAGAAGCGAGATATTAAAGAGGAAGTTCCAGTCTGCTTGTGAAGCAGTTGGCGTGCCATTAAATCTGAATCCTATACACGACTGTCCAACAAAATGGAATTCCACACATGATATAATTGGATTTGGTTTAAAAGTGAGAACTGTCATTAACATATTATGCGTTTCAGTTACCGAATTGTATGATTTTCAAATCACAGAAACTGAATGGCAAATACTCGAAAAAATACATAAGTTTTTAATAAACTTTAAACTTTTATCAACAAAACTTGGTGGAGAAAATTATGTTACATTACCGCTAGTCATTGTATCATTCAATCTATTGCTTGATAAAATTGAATCCATGGTAAAACAATTAGATGAGAAACCTAATCGAACTGAAGTGGATGAAAGGCTAATTTTAGGTTTCCAAGCAGCCCGAGATAAAATGCTTAAACATTATAAGAAGAGCAACTGGATTTACTGTACCACTTTAGTTCTAGACCCAAGACACAAAGCTCCAACTTTTGATATTACATTATGGGGGCAGCAAATTAAAACAGAAAGCCTGCGCAAATTTAATGAATTTTATAAAGAATAACGTCTACCAGTACAGCAACACAGTGTCTAAGACCCGGTTGTTTCAAACCATTTGCTATCGTAACTTACGTTCGTTAAAATTTTACAGACACGTATGAACTTTAACGTCTGTTAACTTGCTAGCGTTGCTTCATTGTTAAAAAATGAGTTCGTCATTGTTAATGGGGTTGCCTGTTTGCGTAACGCTATTTTGACCTAATGTTTTATGGGATTTCTTTATTAATAACAATATTGATAAAAACAATGTAATTTGAAACATTATGTCAAGTTTGACATTGGATGTTTATTGTTTTGTTCGAAAGGCTAATTTTAAAAAGTGTTTAATTTTAGCGCTATTACGCACTGTCGACTAGTCGCCGGCGACTCGGTCGCTGGCGACTGTGAGTTTCTACAGTTTAAATAGATGTCTACGCACTTGGTCGTCGGTCGCCCAAGCGACTGGGCGACTCGCCGCGTCGTGGCGACACACAAGCGACCGCCGGTCGCTGGCGACCAATAGGAGCACGGCTTCAAATGGAAGCATTCACACTGCGAGCAACTGTCGTAACGACCGGACGTCGCGCACAAAAATGGCTCAGGCTTTCGATACCGAGAAATTTATAATAGAAATACAATCCCGAAAAGCTATTTGGGACTTATTAAGTGACGAATATTCGAATCGGGATTTGAAGAAAACACAGTGGGAAGAAATAGTGGAGTTATTTGGAGGTGAAGGATTACTAGACGAAGAAAAAAAAACATAGGTAAATTATAAATGTCATTTATTTTTTAATGAATTCTGCTCATCTGCCAAGGTAATTGACCCTCAGTCATAAAATAATCAGCAAACATATCTCTGTATGACATGCCACGTCGCGTAGCTCTTTGAATACCTGGTGGCACTTCTTCTAAGCCAGGAATGCACAGGGTATCTTCAAATTTATATCCGTCTCTTTCCCGAACATAGTTGTGAAGAACACAACATGTTTTGGTGATGCTTGTTACTAGATCTAAATTTACATTAATAGGTCTGTGAAAAATCTGCCACTTATTTGCTAATATGCCGAATGAACATTCTATGTAGCGTCGAGCACGAGAAAGCCTATAATTAAATATTTTTTTCTTTGTTGTTAAATTTGATCCACCAAATGGTCGCATAACTTTATCAGATTGTCCAAATGCTTCGTCACCAACAATGACAAACGGTACTGGTATTGGATTTATCGATGAAATAGGCTGATGTTCCGGAACTTGTAAATCATTATTCATTAGCTTTTGATAAAATGTTGAATGTGTAAATATAGTAGAATCGCTATCCTTTCCATAGGAACCAACATCTATGTATACGAACTTGTAGTCAGCGTCACAAATGGCAAGCAAAATGATAGAAAAGAAGTGTTTATAATTATAACACACTGATCCACTATTGTAAGGTTTTATAGTCCTTATATGTTTACCATCTATGGCACCTATACAATTTGGAAAATTGGCTCGTAAATGAAAATCTTTTGCGATTTTTAACCAATTTTCTGTTGTATGTTGTGGCAAACACATGTCTTTCAGTAAAACCCATATAAAATGACAAACTTCTCTTATTATCTCAGCAATAGTTGAAATCCCAAGTCTATATGAGTAATGCAGATCTACAAATTTGCAGCCACTTCCAAGATATCTGAAATAAAAAAAATACAATTTATTTACAGGTCAATCACTTCAAAAAAAATGGAAAAATATAAGAAGCTGCTTTGCTCGAGAAATACGAAGAATAAAAAATACCAAAAGTGGGTCTTCTGCTTCTCATAAAACTCCCTATATTTATTTTAAACAGCTGTTGTTTTTGAAAAATACTGTTGGTAATTTAAATACAGAGAGTAGCATTACGGAAGAAGAAAAGTCGACAACTGATCAAGAACCTTTAGGACCGTACTCTAGGGAAAATATAGTGGGAAGAAAGAAGAAAAAACCTTCAGATGATGGCACAAGAGAATTATTGGAAACACTGAACAAATGTATTGATACTCGTAAAAATAACGCGGACATTTTGGAACAAGATGAGGACAGAATGTTTCTGCTGTCCCTTTTATCGTCTTTTAGGAAAATTCCTGATCACAAAAAACCAGCAGCGAAAATTCAATTAATCACAATGATCGATTCATTCGGAACCAATACGCCAAATAACGTATATCCAAACTCCGTTTGGCGTAATTATATTCTACCAACTTCAGTTCCTTCACCGCAAGAATGCTCAGAGTCGCGAGTTTCTACTGCCACTTCAAGTGCCTCGCAAGATTCTGATTACTTGGACTTATTTTGAATCTTTATTTTATTTTTTGTGCTTTGAATTTAAAATTAGTTTATATAGTATTGATTTAGTTAAACAATAATTACATGATGTCAAATTATTTTATTTTATTTATTTACTGCAATTACAGCATCAATGTTCTGTGAGGAACTGCTGCCGATATACAAAATATTTTCGTGTTACAAAAAAGAGCCATACGTGCTATATATGGTCTCAAACCGCGTGACTCCCAATTAATTATTTAAAGAAATTAATATATTTACAGTACCATGTCAGTACATATTTGATTGCATTATATATGTTCATAAGAATATAAAAATCCAAAAAAATCTGACTGTCATAGTATGAACACTAGAAATAAACATAAGCTTGCCATTCCCAAGATCAGACTTAAAAAGACATTTAATTCATTCGTAGGCCAAAGCATAAAACTGTATAATAAACTTCCACAACATGTAAGTGACTTACCAATTCAAAGGTTTAAGTTGCATGTTAAAACTTTATTAATAAAAAAGAGTTACTATAAAATGGAAGACTATTTGAATGATAATAATTTGTATTACTGTTTGGAATCCTGAAATTTACATTTATTTTACATATTATATGTAATAACTTCAAATATTTTTATTGTAGACTTATATTTTTATTTAAACAACGCTTTTACGGTAGTGCCACTGCAAGTCGAGCAAGCACTGTTACTTAAAAGCTCTGGTTTTAAAACAATGAAATTTACACTTACCTTAGAGTTATAAATAATTTTTCTTCCGAAGAAACACATGGTCGCAAATTTGTATCTGTGCCAGTTATATGTGGTTTCAAAAGACACAATAGCTCATCAAACGAACGCACAGACATTCTTGCGTAGTTGAAAAATTTATGAGGGTATTTTCTCACGTCTTCATAAAATAGTTTAAACATTCCTTTTGATCTTCGTTCTTGTAACAAAGGATGTACCCAATACTCTCTTGATTTTCTTTTATTTTTCTTTTTCTTGATTAGTAGCGCTACTATAGCAGCTTCTTCGACATCCATTCTGCACGAATGTACTTGGAATACTGTCGCTCGGCTTGGTCTCCTGCCTAGTTGCCTATGTTTTGGTCGACGAGGCGACCGAGTCGCCAGCGACAAGTCGACAGTGCGTAATAGCTCTTAATATAAATAATGGAAACCTTTTCGCCAAAGTATAAAGCTAATATTTTAATATTATATTGCATGAATTGTATATGCGCAAAGTATGTATATTATATTGAGAGGATAGTTCGAAATGTATTTATTTACGTGACTCATTGACTATCAGAGAACGTTCGGTAAATTTAGGAAAAGAAGAGGACAGATTTAGAAATGTAATAGAAAAACATAAACACATATTATTTAATAAAAAGACAGACAGTACTAACAATTTGCAAAAAAAGAGGGCATTGAGGGCGATTCCTGCAGAATTTAATGCCCTTTCAGATAACACTCGAACTATTAAACAGTTGCAAGCCAAATTTCACAACATGAAGCGGAATGCTCGTAAGTAATAATAGCGGAAAAGTCGAAACACTGAACAAGAAGCTCCAGACCTTAGACTTAAACGCAAGGAAAAATAACATCATTCTACATGGCATCGTAGAACCTACCACCAAAAGATACGAGGAACTAAACGCTTCGGTAATAAAAACCAATCACGGATTTGGAAGTGTCACTCGAAAATAGCGAAATAAATAAAGTGCAACGTCTTGGTAAAAAAGAGGAAAATGGAAAGAATATTGATGTAAAACCTTGATATTTAGAATTTGAATTTTATTCCATTAACCTATTGTCAACTGTCACTCTCTGAATTCTGTCAATCAATTTTTGTTAATAAAAGTTGTATTCGAACGTTGGCTAATTAAAAGCATATTATTTGTGTACAAAACTATAATAAAAAAGACCTATTCTGCTTACATTAACTACTTTGCAGAAAAAAATCCAAATCCTTAGAAATAAGAAAATGAAAGAAAACACGTATATAACTAATGACTATTCTAAGGAAACCATGGAGAAACGCAAAGCAAGAAGAGCAAGTAATTTTCGTGAAAATGAAAAAAGAACCCCAGAGACACCAAGTCCGAAGGAAACAACCAACGGCACTAGCAAGAAAAAACAACGAACAGACGCTTTTCAACTCACGCGTGAGCGAGCCTACTCCACGTCTGAAAGAAATACCTAACTCAATTACTAACCGGAAACGGAATATCACACAGAAAAAAACAACAACAACAGCAAAACAAAAACACATTCCCCGACCCTGCTGGTCCCCGTGGGGAATTAGACCGAAACCCTCCAATAATGAGGCCTTTGCCACCTGGCAAACGGACACGCAACAGTAGAATGAAAAACAGTCTACGAAAAATAATGAATTATCGCTCCGGGAAGCCTGTGAAGTGCCCAGTAGACTTCTGTGCTTCTGGTAGGAGCTAGGCTGGGTAAATTAGCCAGGACTCTTACGCACAACGGACCAATTAGGAGTCTTATTGCGGAAAAAGGAGTCCTACTACCCTAACCCTAACCCTAATAATGAATTACTGTCATGTCCGAAAAGAGGCTATAATTTATTAATTAACGTAAATAAACAAAATAAGTCGTTATTGGGCCTCAGACAATCAATATTTCAACACCAAAAGCCTTTGCATTCGCCGAAAGTGACAGTTTGGGCGGCTATTTCAGCACACGGAATCATCGGACCCTTCTTCTTTGAAGACCAGCGAGGGAATTCTGTGACAGTAAAAACTGAGCGATACATAGCCATGTTACGCAATTTCTTTTTCCCGCAGCTGTCACAATTTCAGGGGTACAATAGTGCGACATGGTTTAAACAAGATGGCGCCACATGTCATACATCAAACTAGAGTTTGGCAGTCGTAAAGGAGATGTTTACTGGAAAACTCATTTCGCGCCGAGGTAACATTTCATCGCCATCTAGATGTCCGGATTTAACCCCACCAGACATTTTCCTGTGGGGATACATGAAAAGTAGAGTCTACAGCAATAATCCCACCACAATTTCCGGTGAAAGCTAACTTCCGCGGAGAAATGGCCGCTATTCCGCGATTAATCAAAATGCGGCGGATTCAATATACGGGACAAGAATACGCCAACATGCACTTCATCTACGTTGAGTGCAGGAGCAACGCTAGTGCTGCTGCAGCCCTTTATAGAGAAAGATATCCTAATGCGCGTCATCCAAATTACCGTGTATTCGTGAGAGGCCACAGATGTTATTCGGAAGGCAGAATACCTGGCAGTGGCATTGGTGGTACGAGCTCCGGAAGACTAGCGAATATTAATAATACTCAAGACATTGTACTTGACGAAATTCAGCAAGACCCGTCGACCTCTGTAAGAACAATATCACGGCGTACTAGAATCCCGAAATCGACCGTGCACCGTGTACTGAAAATAAATAAATATCAATCATCCTTACCATATTAGACGCGTCAATTACATACGGTACATCGCTGTTCATACATTTATTACGGAACATCGTGCAATGAGTCGCTCTGACTCTTTCACTCGGGGTTGCGTTAAACAGGAGTGACGTCGCACGGAAATCCTGGTCTGGGCTGGGAGTGAATGAAGCTCCCGTGTCTCAATCTCCTATAAGAGCCTGGATTTCCGAGATGACGCAAGGAATGGTACTCCCAACCAATACCGACGCACATATGGCCATTAATATCAACGGAAACTTCAGTATCAGCACGGAGATCGAAACTTACTACGGGATATCACCCAACAACAACGTATGGGGACAGTCAATTAACATGCCTTACCCCTGCTTTTTGCAATGGGGATCAAAATTCGACATAGATATGACTGGGTCGTATGAGGCCACAGAGGGCGTTATAACAGCAGCATTTGAGAGCCCTCACCTACTGGTCCAACATTCCAGTAACGTGTCCATCTCGTGGCTAGCGACTACATTAGATACACGCACATATTACGGTACCCTAAAGTTCGATGTACGATTGTACCGCACGTTATCTTAGAAGAGCCTTTATAAGAAGATGTCGAGCGCGTATTAGAGTCGGTGGCAGATAATAGTGACGGAGAACTTACAATTAGACTATGAACTGCTGGCAGTTCATAGCTCAAGATGAGGAAATGGAACCGATGTTTTTGAAATTGAAGATTCTGTTCAAGAACCGACAAATCAAACCTCATAACCCACTGTTCAGATACTTCAGAGACTATTCCTATTTTCAACTGGAGAAATAACTCATACGCATTCAATGAAAGTGAGTATGATTTGGGCGCATAAATACATTACCTGACTGGCATGGCATGTTGTTGGCAATGGACATCTTCATGGAGGTGACACAAATGGATCAGTTAGTGTCTAATATCATACTAAAAGAAAGTGTCAAATACGCACAACAAAATGGAAGACCTTTTACAGTCAGCTTGGATGAAATGAAGGCATTTTTGGGCATGAATTATGTCATAAGATATCATATTTTACCAACTCTTGGGAATTACTGGTCGACTGATGAAGACATGGGTGGCAGTGCCTTTCGTTGCTAATGTTATGCCAAGAACTATTAAGGAGTACAAATAAGTTCCCGCCGTTTTAATGTAGATGGCGCGGCACGGAGTGTCCGTTAGCTTTCGCAGCGCTAACCGGCTTAAAAGATAGTTTGGACATTCAAGAACAACATAACCTATTAATATCATTGATTTCATATTGGTAAAATATAATAATTTTTATTAGTTGAAAATGTCTAAATTTGAGCCAAGTAAGTAATTTAAAGAAATCTGCTGCTGAGGCGTATAGATTGCTCGGAGAAGCATATGGTGAGGGTGCTTTGAGTGAGAGAACGTGTCTTGAGTGGTTTCAAAACGGTGATTTCGACGTAGAAGAGAAAGATCGCAGTGGAAGGCCAAAAATTTACGAGGATGCAGAATTGGAGGAATTATTGGAGGAAGATTCATCTCAAACACAAAAAGAACTTGCTCTAACAGCTCCAGCAAGCAGTCTCACATCGTTTAAAATCATTAGGGAATGATTCATAAACAAGGAACTTGGGTTCCGTACGAATTAAAGCCGAGAGATATTAAACGCCGATTATGCTTAAGTGAAATACTGCTAGCTAGACATAAAAAAAGGGTTTTTTACATCGTATCCTAACTGGTGATGATCGCTTTTCCGCCAGGCTGAGAAATACACTATAGCTCATTAGTTCTATTACATTATTAATCAATTTTTATTTCTTATTTCCAGGCGCGCTCAGTTCTCTCCACAAACTTGACAGCGAAAAGCCCACACCACAAATTATTTCAGAATATGAAATATTTTTTCAAAACATTGAAATTTATGGAAGGTTGGATTTGGACCATTAATGGCGTCGAGCGGCTGTTTAAGCAATTCGCTAACGAGGGTATAAGAGCTAGTTCAGACATGGCGGAATCCGTGCGGATGCAAATCGCGCGGTTAGACCGCGCGGATCTTATTTACATTAGCGCCTATAAATTCGTTCATACCTGTCCGCGCGGATTGACAAACCGCGCGGCTACCGCCACTCAACCGCTAGAAAATGAATTCGCGCGGTTGCCGCTCGGATCTATTTACTTGACGTACCTAGAGCGCGTTCAGTTGCTCTGCGGAAGCCGCGCGTATCGGACGGTGACAATGGATCGCTTCGACACCGAGCTATTCATCGATGAGGTGGAAAAGAGACCTGCTTTGTGGGACATCCAATGTGCAGAATATTCCAATAAAATTATTAGAAACGGAGCTTGGCAGGAGCTGGTGGATATTTTTGGAGAAAATGAGGATTCTTTGGAAAAAAGGTTCTTTTTGGTCAGTATGTATTTAATTTTACATTTATCAGGGTAGTTTACATATTTTGTAATTGACAGTCCACCCCAAATAACTAAACTATATAAAAATGTTGTTATTGTGATTGGAGGTAAGTATCGGGCGCGGGAAAAATATCACGTTAGCATAGTAACGGAGTAGCTAGTGACTATGTGCAACCGACGCGACGCCATCTTGAGTTTAGTTATTTGGCGCGAACTGTAACAAATTTTAATTTTGGAACGAAGTTCCTTATCGCGCGTTGTGAAAGGGGGCTAGACGGAAAAAAATCTCACGATTCTCACGCACGCAAACACCACGCCTCGCTACTCGCCTCTAGTACTCGCCTCCAGTGAGGTCAACTTCGTTCTATCCGGGTGTCCCTTGACACCTCTCAAGTTTTTATATTTTTGTGTCTTGCCATTCTACACGACCCTCATTTACAAAGTAATTAGCATATTTGTCTCTAATATTTAATGATGACGGTGTACCCCTTCCTGCATGTAATGTATTAAGATTACTCATTGGCCCAGTATATAAAGTATCTTCAAACTGTATACCATCTCTAGTTCTAACAAAATTGTGTAGCACACAACAGGCCTTTATTATGTCTTCGGCAAAGTCTATATTAACGTTTATAGGCCTATGAAAAATGCGCCACTTGTTTGCCAGAATTCCAAAAGTGCATTCAATATAACGTCGAGCTCTTGATAACCTGTAATTAAATATATTTTTTTTCGTATGATAGCCCTCTACCTGCATAGGGTCGCATTACAGTTTCGGATAAACCAAACGCTTCATCGCCAACTATGACGTATGGCAATGGCGTAGGATCTGTGTTAGATATTGGTTTAGGTTTTGGTATGTGTAATGACTTTTCTATTAATCTTTTATAAAATACCGAATTTTTAAAAATTGCAGAATCACTACTTTTTCCATATGATCCAATATCTATGAAAGAAAAACAATAGTTACTATCACAAAGTGCCAACAGCACTATGGAAAAAAAAGTTTTGTAATTATAATACAAAGATCCAGAATCATTGGGTTTTGTAATCCTTATATGCTTGCCATCTATGGCGCCAATGCAATTGGGGAAATTTGCATATTTTTCAAAATCTGTAGCTATTTTCTTCCATATATCTTCGCTGGGTTCAGGCATGACATTTTTTGCGACTTTTTCCCACAGAGCTTCACATACTTCACGGACAATTCCTGTAATTGTAGATTTGCCAAGACGAAAGTTGTAATGCAGTTCTCCAAAGGAACAACCAGTACCCAGATATCTGAAACAATATAATCTTGATCTGTATCGTTTTGTTAACAAAGTTGCAAACTTTTCATTTATTAATTATAAGTCGCGGGCACCAGCTAGTTTAAAATAATGAGTGTCAATTATTTTATTTTAAATTTTCAAATTTTTGAGTGTCTTCAATTATTTGACCGCTCCTGTATTTATAAGTCTACAATTTTGTTAAAAATACTGATTTCTGTTCCAGGTGTAACTTTACAAAAAAAGTGGAAGAATATACGGGATGCTTATAATAAGGAATTCAAGAAAGGCAAATCAATTCCTTCTGGTTCTGGTGCATGTAAAGGTTCAAAATACATGTATTTTGACCGGCTTTCTTTTCTTCAGAAGACAGTAGAAAACAAAGAAACGACATCAAACATACATGAAGCCAAAAATGAAGGAATTCAAAACATTGACCAAAACCAAGATAATTTTGTTAATGCACGTGAAATACAACCAGTACCCAATAAAAGGAAGAAGACTAAAATTACTTCAGAAGAGCGATTGGCTGACATATTAGAAAATAGCATTGAATCAAGGGATAAAATACAGAGACAATTACAAGAAAGTATGTCAAAGCAAGATGATGATGATAAGCTTTTTTGTATGTCATTGTATAAAGAGTTAAAAAAGTTCCAGAAAATAAGCGTTTGGCTACTAAAATTGAATTACTCCAGGTAATACAGAAAGGGCAGAAATTACCAGCGCCTATTCATATCACGAGCCAGCAGAACACGCCTAATGAAGTATTTTGGCAAAACCAACAATATTCAAACCCACAAGGATATTTTACAGGATATTCTACAATCGTACCAGGAGAGTCTCCATCGCCTTTATCATGCAATAGCACTGACGACTCACAGTCTTCTATAGTACAAAACATATATTCTGATGTATAAAATAAATATCTTACCTTAATGTAATCACGAGTTTTTCTTCTGGGGCCACGCTTGACCTCATATGGGTATCATTAGATGCAATTTGTTCACTGATCATTTCTAATAATTCATCAAATGAATTTATCGACATTCTCAAATAATTAAAGAATTTTGGTTCAAAACTTCTTAATTTTGGATATAAAGTCAGAAACTGACCATGGGTGAGCCGATCACGTAATATTGGATGCACCCAATACTGCCGTTTCTTCTTTCTTTCTTTTTTACGGAGCAACAAGTACACACATATTGCTTCTTCGACTTCCATGATTGGACTAGAACGCTGTCACTCTATGCGGATTACGGCACTCCGCATTTACATCCGCGTCTGTCTGAACACTTGCGTTTAGAACCGCGCGATTTGCATCCGCACGGATTCCGCCATGTCTGAACTAGCTCTAAAGACCCTGTCCACAAGACGGTTACAGCAAGATCCATTAGAAAATTTGTTTGGCTGCATAAGGGGCAACTGTGGCCATTTGTTTTAATCTATATAGTTCAACCTATTCTGTAGTATTATTTTCATAGTTGTAGTTATTATAATATAATCGAGTTTAAAATGAATCATAAATATACACAAGGATATCGCGATGTCTGGGAGCAAGATCCCTTATTTAAAACTTGGTTATGTAAATCTACAAAATCTAACGTTATTTTTCAAAGTGATCAGACCCTTATTCATAAAATTGAAACATACATACAAAACATGATAAGTTCTATTTTGAGATGCTTTATGAAGATAGATTATATAAAAACTCCTCCGCTTTAGTCAATAGATCCAAGTTCAAGAATGCATTTCGTACCTATACAAAACATGTAAGCACCTGGGCACAAAAGTAGCAATGAAATTGGAATCATTAAAAGATGATGTTCGAATGAGACCCAAAATTTTAGAATTCTTTAACAGATGTCAATCGAGCTGAGTAGCCAATTTCTGTAAAGACTGCACTGCCCGTACAAGAT